TAAAATACAAAATACTTTTATATGCTCCCATGAAATACAAAATACAAAATATTTTCATGTACTCTGAACAAACACAAAATACAAAATATAATTGTCTTATCAATACTGTTTTTCAAATAAAAGTATTTCAAATACATGCCCATCTCTGATGGAAGGTACTGAAGGATATTAAACAGGAAAAGATTAAACTTGAACCTCGAAAATTGGATTCAAATCTTATTTCGTTCAAAATTGTACCACATTCGAAATTGTACAACCTTATCTGCCATTTTAATTTATGCTTCCTAAAAGTTCCTGTCGCTCTTCCCTTATATTCGAAATTCTAATCTTTTAATTTCGCCATGAGATACCCCAGAACATTCATTAGTATAAGTGTCATGTTCTATCATATAATCTTTTATTTTTTCCTTCAAGATGAAACGGTGATCAGAAGTGTGGCGTAAATCTGAAGGACATGCTCGTCACTGCGACGACGGGAACAATCTCAAAGAACAGCCTCATCCGAGCATGAGGGAGAAGCTTTTTCAGGCGCGACTGGGGAATATGTGCAAGATTACGTGAGAGCGATAGTTTACATTCCTTCCTTCCTTTCCCCCCCCCCCCCCCTCCCCCTCTCTCTGTCTCTCTCGCTCGCTCTCTCTTCGTCTCTCGCTGTGTAAACGTCGGCTATTATTTCTCTAAATCCTTACAAGCTAGAATTATTATGTACAGCATTGTGGACACGATTTCCGACTTTCACTTATTGTTAATCGGCATTCCTCCTAGGAGCACGATTAGCACACGAGCTTGCTCGTCTCATCGGTGCATCGCACGATATATGATAATTAACGACGGAGGAAGCTTTCCTCCCTTTCTCTTGACGACAATTGTTCGGACGTTACTTTATGATTTTGGACAAGAGCCATTGTGAAGAGCATGTAGATGTCGATTGATTAGATGCACACTAATTAATATTGAAAATATATCCACATTTCTCTTTTTCAATGTTAAAGCAAAGAAAGATTCATAGGAATGTAAGAGTTGGCTTATTTGCAATTTCTGATTCGTTAACGAACAGAATCTGAAAAACTCCCACTAGGATAATAACTTGATTACGTGTGTGTGCTGCCTCTTTTACACACAAGATTGTAAATACGTAAAAAAGAATATTGTTTTTACTGAGCTCTATTCAATGGCTCTCATTGTCCTTCGCAATATAATTGCGCTAATTACATGTCGGCGAAAAACGCCTACCTTGTGTGCAGTTGAAAAATGAAAGTTTTTAATGAAAGAAGACTGTCCCTCCACATAAGTAAATTTGCAAACGCAGTAGCCAATTAAAAACGATCGAAAGTATCATTGATGATTTCTGATTGACTGCTGCGTTTGCGTTTGCATATAACGTTTTACGATTGTGACTTATGTACAGAGGTTTTTAAACGAAATCTATTTTGTTTTTTTTCTTTTTTGTTCTCTATCTTTCTTTCCTTCTTTCAGTTTCTCCTTTTCTCAACTACAAGGCTTGATCATTACACCAAAATGCACATCGACGTGATAAAATAGACAAGCCACTCCATTCTCTCTTCCTTTTTCTTCTACAATAAGAATTAAAAATATTCCTGCCGTATCGTGAGAGAACGTGAAGCATCGCAATTTTATCGCGCCGGATAATTCGATCGCAGTTCAATCGTACGAATACATAGCGTCGAAAAACGACGCTATGTATTCGTACGATTTTCACAACAATATAATGTGATCTCTGCAACTATATTATATGATCGTCGTTAGATTTGTTATACACGCGTATACACGATGTCGACACACGCACGTTACAAAAAAAAAAGAAATGGGAGACGTGTCATTGCGCATACATAAATCTCGTTTTCGCAATAGAGCGGTACGAATATCCTAAATAACAAGATTAATTCAATTTGCTAATTCAATATCTCTGCGCCTCTCTCTCTCTCTCTCTCTCTCTCTCAGTTTCTTTCTCTCTTAGTTTTTCGCAGTACAAATTCCGTTAATTGCTAACTACTCTCTATAGCGAGAGATGCGACACTTCTAATCTCTTTCTTATTTTTCTCTTATTCCGTTGTCATTGGACGAGATACAAAAACGTGCAATTCATAATTCATACTTAACACTTGTGGCATAATTGATACTTAACTCAGGCTTAACTTAAGTTGATCATTATTTCTTAAAAAAGGGAAAAAAAAGTGAGACGATTGAGACAATCATCACTGAGCGAACACTTTGATCCTACGTGGCATCCGCTGAACAAAGTACAATTGGTGCGTATTGTCGAACGAAATATTGTACATGTGTTTAATTGGACATGGATGATTGCGCGCAATCATACATCTTACAGAGGCATCCGATGCGCGTATTTTATGTCTGTATGTTTTATGTGTGTGGGTGCGTTATACGCGTGTCTTTTGTACGCATTCAACTATGCATAAGACCGTGCACGCAGTAATTACACTCATTTGGTTTCTTTTGGCATTACAAAATAATCTTATTTACAGTCTGTTGATATAATATCAATATTCATACTTCTTTATACTAAATTACGCGATAGAGCATATTATGTTTACTTACTATATTATGCAGGTAAGGAACTATTTACAGAATAATAAAATGATAATATAAATATACCGTTGGGTATCGTCGAACAGATATTTTACTGCATGTGTATACGTGTAAGTGTAGATTCGAGTGAATGTGTATGTGTTTGTTGTGTGTATGTGCGCGCGCGCGTGTGAATATGTCGTTTATATGCGTTTATATTTGCTCTTTCTCAATTTGAATCGATTGTTTCGTTGTAGAGATATTCGTTCGTGGATTTATCAATCGCGGAACAATCGGTAACAAGATAAAGCATCGGTTAGTGTGATTTTTGATGGAGCGAATCATCGGAACTGGAGGATTTGAGAAACGTGTCATCGTGAAATATGAATGGATATCTCATTTCTTTACATATTGCATCGTTTCGTGATGCGCGTAAAAAGAAACGAAAGAGAAAATATCGATTAAAACACAGCCGGAAATAAGGCATTAAATGCATAACATGTTCAAAGTTTGTATCTTAATTGTAATAACATAATAGCCCTACTTTAATTAAAAAACCTAGAATAATTTGCACACTATGATAATATATTACAAGTATGCAATTTTCACCTAACTATATCCCGAACGTTAAACGATTCATCTTTATATCGCTATCGCGCACTCGGGCTGTTATAATAATCTACTTAAAATTCTCATTGGATGTAGCTACTTAAATTAAAATCCCGATTTTGCCAAATTTTTCTCTTCAACGAATCAACCTCGACGGTCAATTTACAGACCAAGAATATTCGGCGATGAATATTCACGTTCTTCTAACATAAGCGAAGAACGACGGGATAAATATGAAATATCACTAAGGCGACGAAATGATACAAAGAAAGAACTTTTTTTCTTTTCTTTCTATCTTTGCAAAGTTTTTTCGCGGAGTTTCCTCTTTCTTTTTACAATTTTTTTTCTTTTTTTCATAAAACAATTTACAACGAAGATGTCAGCATCGCGTAAAGTAGTATATTAACCGCCTTCCTCCAATTTAACGCCTCGTTATCTGCGCGAGTTAATTATTAAAGAAATATCTCTTCAGTATTCACAGCAGATACAGTCAATTTAGCTGTCTTCATCATGGAAAATTTTCAGGGAATCATAAGATGCTATCAATTAAATAAAGTCTACAATATCTACAAGAATTCAAGAGCTTTTTCAATAAATTGAATTTTAGTTCATGATTGTATTTTCATCAAGTTATGACTGTTTAAATTTCAGACTTTTAGCATGAAAAAAAATCTTTAAATAAATGTTATCAAACTATTCTTGAAATATGAAGGGGGATATATAGGAAAACTAAAATATAAACTGAAATAAAAATAATTTCGAGACATGGGCATTTAGCTATAGCAAAGCGAGAACTCATGTAGAGAATAACGGAGCGTTAGATCGTATCGGCGTCGTTGTTAAGTCGTTACAATCGCATTAAGTGCGCTAATACATTTCGTCATATATAGTTAATTTTTGTTTAGGACACACGCAGTGAAACGTCATCTGCATTCGTATTACAAGTCAACAAGGATTATCTCTGTTTAAGGATTATCACTCGTTGTAATTATATTATGTACGTTGAATGGAAGAAAAACAGATGAAAAGATTGCGAGCAGTCAGAAACGTGTCACATCTAATTCACTTGAGAAAATCATGTTTTTCTTCTTCCTTATTTTTCCTTATTATGATGACAACTTTTATCAAAGACTAATGCAAAACACCTTATTATGCGACAATTATAGGAAATTTTTGTTTATCACTGAAAAAAAAGGACAGAGAGAGAGAGAGAGAGAGAGAGAGAGGGGGGGGGGGAACTGGGTAAGTAAAGAAATAATCCTTATTGAGACAAATGATCAACGCATACAGATGAATCAGGTATGTCCTGAGATATTTCACTAATATTTCTTTGAATATATCTCGAAACATATCTGAATGTTATGTATCTCAAAATATTTCAAAATATGTATCAGAACATACACAGAGGTTCTTTCCATTCAATAACCCACATATTTTTGCAATTTGAAATATGCGCTTCCAAATATCTTCTTCTGGACCAATCGAGTGAAAAACAAGCCTTAGAGCATCTCCACTATCTCATCCAAATAGCCATACTACGCCGCATGGGACTGCTGAGACTGCGGCAGTTTGCTGGAGCTTTTGTGATGGCTGGACGCGTGTCTTTCCTGAAAACGACAAATAGAAATGTGACGTCTTGCTCCGTGAAGTAATGCAAACAATGAACGAAACATCCGCTAGTACCGCGTAAAAATAACACGTCGTATAAATAAATACTACATTTTTAATATACCTTTAGTATAATTGAGTCTATTATTTTGAGAATGATTTGTAAGAATTCAAACTTTGAATGAGTGAGATGTGAATCTAAACTGAATCTAATAGATAAGACGTCGTTTTTATTTTCAGCAGAATTATCAAAATAAATGACTCAATTGTTATAGTTTCATAGTTAAATGTAGTATATATAAATTCTCTCTTTCTTTCTTCATTTCTGTAAATCTTCTAGCATTCTTTTCCATAAGAATTTGATTTCAGATAGATTGATGGGAATGAATAGATCATGAAAAATCAATTATCTTAGTAGATTAAGTTTAGTGTGTGGGATCTTTCGGGTGAAAAGCATGAATGCACATAATGATATGTAACGAACAAATTAATGATAATTCGCAGTGGGAATGAAAAAAGAAGTATTCTACTGGGATTTCTACGATGAATTTTTCCAGTTTCTCGTTTTTCTTCGATTATACCGGCAATAAAATGGGATTGAGTTAAGGTACGCAAACTAGCAAAAGCATTTATTTGCAAATTCTACGCATGCAAATGTATATTCAAATGCAAAAAAAATGTAAATCATGCAAGCATATGCTCATATTTGCGTTCATGCAGGCACGCACGCACACATACATGTCTCAAAACATTGACAACGTATTATTACAACAGCGATAAGTGTAATCGAGTGATAACGGTAATTTTGCTCCCAATAATAGTAGAAATAGTAGTCGTGATGTACCCTTCACCAAGCAACAGGCACGAATGGCACGGGCAATGTCCATTAATCTTATTTTGTTGATTTTTTATGAACTCGTTTCGTGCGTGATTTATGTAACGATATCGCAATATGATCGCATAATATACTGAGCCGTGATGTTAATACATATATGTATATTTTGTGTGTGTGTGTGTGTGTGTGTGTGTACATATACATACACATGTGTGTGTGTATATATATATATAAATGCAGCGATACAGTGTGCGACAGTACTGCATATGTACATATAATATGTGTGATATTAAGAAGACAAAATAATCACTAAGGTACGTTTCGTTTGCACAGTACGTTTATTTACGTTGCTTTCATATTTCTTTTTTTTTCTTTTTTTATCGACCACGTGACGCGTACGATCCCTGTTGTATAATTCTATGTAGTTCCTTGTCTAAAATCATCTATTTTTCGCTCTAATATTTGCGAGCAATCAAAGATGAATATATTTTAATTAAAAATTAAAATATTTCAAGACGTTTCGGTAACTTCAACTTTCTCTCTCTCTCTCTCTCTCTCTCTCTCTCTCTCTCTCTCTCTCTCTCTTCAAGACAGGTAGCGTACGCGACGAATGGTGAATATACATCGTGTACAGAATTTACGCACTTTTCACGTTACACACATTATTCTTTTTTTTTAGCGAGGTGTACTTGTACCCTAAGATTTATATTTTTTAATTTATTTGTGCCGTATCCGCTGCTCATATCGCGTGAGCACTGTGATGTCCTCGATGACTTGAAATCGATGTATCATTCGTTAACACCAACAGCTTAAAAATATTATCGATATATACACCAATTTGTCGATGATTCCCATTAATCCAAACTCTAGATTGTTTTATTAAAACAAAATACAATAGACAATTTCGCTACTCTGGATTAAGACAAAGGAAAGCATCTCAATAATTACTAAAAAAAATTGTATAAATTTTTAATATTATCAAAAATATTTTTACGACGCTGAAAACTTGTGTACATCTTTAACATATACATATATATATATATGTGTATTTTATCTCTCTCTCTCTCTCTCATCCCCTCCCTCCCTCTCACTCGCATGTTCGCTCCCTGCCTATCTCTCTCTCTTACTCTTTTTCTATGCTACTTATCAATCACAGATCCTCTGTCAAGTTTCAAATTATTCTATTGTTTAAAAAAATTTCCTATCATCACTTATTTACTTTCCAATACACGACATACTTCAATTAATTTTAAACAAAATTTTTGCTAAAACAAATTAATCTAATAAAAAAATTATGTCACTAGAAAAATGGTTGAATTTTCATCTAGAAACAAATCAGTTATAAACTAGTCGAAAAATTCATTAACGAGAAAGATAAATAACATATAAAGCATTATATAAATATATATATATATATATATATACAGTGTTTAATTACATCGTCGCTATCAATTATATATATATATGTATATACATAATATACTCTTCTGTTTTTCTCTTAAATTTTTTACCATCACAGAATATAAAAACTAGAGATTTACCTTAGCAATTATTTTGTCTTTCTATTACAATTTTTCAATTACTGTCGTAATTGCACAATTTGACTACGCAGTTCCATTTCTTCGCGTTTTCGTCACCGTGTACGGTTTCGTTAACACATATTGTCGTATTGACAAAAAATCAGTTTACAATCGGCGGAGATCAAATCACTAAGTACATTAATCTTCAGTTTATACGATAAATAAGAGAAAAGACGCGAAAAGTTTCCTGAGAATAATATCCCATATGAGAGATTTCTTTCGAAAAATCCTCAACACGGCGCGGGCATTGTAAAATGTCATATTCCGGAAACGGAATTTTTCATTTGATATACCGAATACATGTATATATATGTATATATAT